TCGACATCCGATTCTTTCGGGACGCCCTTGATAACGACCCGAAGTTTACGCTCTTCGGGTAGTGAGTAGGTGTGGAAACCTACCTTGGCTTCGCGCAAGTATTTTGTTACGCGGCGGAAATCGTCCGTGGAGTCTAGGTATACGCGGATACCCATATTAGTATTTTTGGACCGGGGGTCTCGGATGTTGTGGCGTTCAAACCACGAACACACCTGGTGCCACTTTGCCTTTTCTTGAATTATTATTGGCGGCGGTGGCTTGATTTTTCGCTTGGAGGCGAATGTCGGTTCCGACTGGGCAGTCGCGGCTGCCTTTTTGGCGGGCGTCGCGACGGGACGGTTTGACGGGGCGGCCTCGCTTTCGGGGTCGCTGTCAGTAGCGGGGTCAGTAGCGGTTTCTTGCCCTTTTTGCGCGATTTGACGACGGTGAAGCCGTCGGCGTTCGCGTTGTTCGCGGGGGCCGTTTCGACCTCCATGTCTGAACCGCCGTCCGATTGTGAGTTGGGTACGACGGAGCGAAAAGAGGTCGGGTTCGGTTGCACAGAAGGCGCTACGGGCGAGTAGGCGTTAGCGGATGCCGACGCGACGGGGGCTTCTAAGGTCGCGAGCGCGACGGGGTAACGGGCGCAGACGGCGCGGGCAATGGCGGCGACGAGAGGTCAGCTACTTGCCTATGCTCGGCTTTATAGGCAAGAAAACGTTCCCACATAGCGGGGCATTCCTTGCGTACGAACTCCTCGAAAAGGAAGCCCATCGCGGCGTAAGTGCCTTTGGGGCTTGTAGCCCCACCGGCGTGTGTGAGCTAAATAAGCCTCCCCACCTTGCGGCAGGGAGGTGTGTGGCTAAAAATAACAACTAATTTGCCTGCGCTTTAGGTGCGCTAGTGTGGGTACCTAGCTGTCGCCTATTGCAACAAGCACACAGATAATAAATGAAACAATGCCGCCTCTGAGGCGAGAAGTGTGTGTAGGATTCTACTTACAAAACAGGAACCTGCCTACGAGCACAACACTACACTAACACTAAACTACTGCACTATTTGCACAAGATTTAAATTGCAACCGAGGTTGCGAGTGGCGTCTAATTCGGGTGGCATGTGCCCTCCGCCTTAGAGAGACGTCCGTTCCGTACGAGAGCACGAAGCGGAATGAACTAACTATCACGATTACGACATGAGATACAACGTGGAGCCTGGTGATAGACGGACAGACTGACAGACAGACAGCGGAGTCTTAGTAATACAAAAGATTATTCTATACTCTAAAAGATTATTTAAACCAAATAAAATAGAATATTATGGAATAAAAAATAAAATTCTTTCTAGACACATGAATAAATAATAATACGACGAAAAAAAATTAAGATTATTTCTATGTAGTCTAACCCAGAATATTTTTGTCACTTCTGGAAAGAGTTTAGAAAAGATTGCCAAAAAAAATTCTAATTTTTCATTGTTTTATTACCAATCTAAGGCATTGAAATATGAAAAACGTTAATAAATCAATCACGATTTTTTTTTAATTTATTGATAATTCTGTAAAAACAATTGCTTGAATTGTTAAAATAATTATTATAATTAAATACATTGTTGATTTTTTTTTTTTTCAAATTTTTCTTTTAGGAATATGAGTCTCACAAAAAAATTTCACTGCTATAAACGCCTTTTCTAAATTACAATTTTTTGTTGCTTAGTGTTAACATTATGGAACCATTTTATTAAAATCATAGTTTATCACGTTGTTACATCATAAAAAAAATATAATTGAATTCATTTTTTATTTGGTTTTGTGAACAGACATTAGTTAATAAACAAACGAATTACGAAAAATTTTGTTTATTATTTTTCTGTTTTTTTATATAATTTTTAAAATTATTGTACACTTGGACTTGTCAGTTTTTCTCCATTGCTATTAAAATAACTTATAAACTATTGAAGATACGACTAGAACACTCCAAGTCTTATTTATTCTTCAACATTATTTTTTAAATATTGAAGTAGAAGTACATTCATTTTATACATGAATTAAATAATTAAGTGTTGAGTATTGATACCAATATTTTTTTTATTAATTATTATATGTAAATTATTAAATAATCTATCACGCGCGCAACGAATTTACATTAAAATATAATGGTTGTGTTGCACGTGAATCTGAAAAGCGCGCGAGCGCTAGATATTGCTATTGTTTGTATGCTGGAAAGGATATAACAATAGATGCGCCAAGTATTGCTTCAAATGCTAAATAACAATGTAGAAGGAAGGCGTTAAGATTTTCGTCGCTGTGGCTATAAGCCGTTTAGCTCAGTGGCTAGAGCGTCAGGCCGCGAATGCCTAAGACGTGGGTTCGATTCCCACAGCGGCGACAATCTTTTCGTACTTTTTCTACATGTTTTAATGTTCAATCTTAAGTGCAGAGATTAGCACTTTAAAAATTTATAAAAAGCAATGGCGACATCTCTCGTTCGAATTATCGTTGTAAAACGATATTCGAAATTGTTTGTATGCTGGAAAGGATATAACAATAGATGTGCCAAGCATTATTGCTTCAAATGCTAAATAACAATGTAGAAGGATGTAACGTGTGATTTCATCACTTTGTCTAAATTGTCGTTTTTCTAGAGACTAGGCTGCATGTCATATGAACCTTTGCCTGTTCGAAAGGACGAATGTAAAAGTTAAATTCATTTGGTCGTACTTGTCATTTGAGATTGCCGCCGGTTCGAATTGACATTGGATAAATTAGTTTTTGTGGATCTATTATCTTCGACCGGTAAGTAATTTCTTGGTTTCGTTCATGCCAGTGGTTGTTTTGTTTACGTATTTCGTTTTCTTATCAATTCGCTTTTTTACAGTGCATGGCTAGAGGTTGAAATCAGAACACATTCCTGGTCGTATTATTTGTGATTGCTGTCTGGGAAACTCTGTGCTGGATTTGTTGTCCCTCGTGGTAAGATCCTTTGTTATTTTCACTGGTTTCCTACTAAAATTGTAAAAGACTTGCATTGAGAATGTATTTAGAAATTCACATGAAGGTAGGTTGAGAATTTATTGTCTCGTGTTTCTAAGTATGATTTTTCAAATATCACAGGTGGATGCTGAAGGCATAGGTGGCTGGCAAGCTGGTCTGAGCTGCTGCTCAATTAAAAATTGTTTTTTACCTCCAGTTGGTAAGTGTTTTACATATTATAATTGTGGGTAGATTCAAATCCCTGCCTTTGTTAGTTCTACAATGTAGTGTTTGTTGGCAGGAGGTCTCCTACATACCCCCCAACAGTGTGGCTGTATACACTACACTTGGCCTGGTTTTCTCTGCTGGTTCTGAGCTCAACGCTGACCTGTGCACACAGGGCAGGTGTCTCTGCGGTGACATAGATTTAAAATAACTACCTGATTGGACTTTATTTTTTAAATTGAATTGCATAACTTTCATAATCTTAAATTAATTTAATTATCTAACCTTTTTATGGTCGCACAAAGTAATGTGTAGGTCCTATGTACTCACGACTCCCTGAGATACTTAATTGTGATTATTACAACAGTCTGTTCCTAACAGACAAGGCGCCCAACTTATTATTATTATTATATTGTAAAATATATTGTATCTGAGCTAGTCCAGGGATTGTAACATTAAACTGAAGGGATGAATACAACTTCTTAACTGCTAATAAATCTTTTATTAAATCTTCCCATCATTATCTAGACACCATCCTATATAAAAAACGTTACAAGGAATGCGTTAAGATTTTCGTCGCTGTGGCTATCACCCGTTTAAGCTCAGTGGCTAGAGCGTCAGGCCGCGAATGCCGAAGACGTGGGTTTGATTCCCACAGCGGCGACAATCTTTTCGTACTTTTACTACATGTTCTAATGTATCTTGTGACCTATTTCCAGGCGTTATAAATATGCTTGACAAGTGCAACGCCCGCATCTGTTGTCGATCTGCTTTTAGTGAATCCATATTGCTCATCGTAAAAAATTTTGTTCATATTAACTAAGTGCTCATTAAAAATTAGTTTTTCAAAAATTTTACTTAGAGATGGCAATTTGAAAATAGGTCTATAGTTGCCTGGATCATTTTTATCCCCACTTTTAAAGACGGGGATTATCTTAAATATAAAATATCATTAGTAACTACGTTATTAAATTAAAACGTGGGTCGACAATAGGTAACATTATTTTTCAATACATGATACGTACAGACTAAATAGATAGCATTCTCATGGCAAGCATGGAGATTTTCGCGCGGTGAGCATGTCACCTTTAGCTAAGTGGTTTAAGCTTCTAGGCGCGTTACTCGTAAAAGTCGCGGGGTCGATTACTGGTAACTGCGATAAGTTTTCATCTATTCATCTTAAATTCAGAGATTAGCACTAAAAATAACTTTAGATTATAGGAAAATAAAAAAAAATTATAATAAATCAGGTAGTGCATACTTTTGTTTTTATTACAATTGCATCCCTTTATGTTACCTGCTATACAATGAGGTTGTATTTATTATTATTTACCTAGGTTGCTCGGGAATATTGAAATAAAGGCGAGCGCCCGGACACTGAGCTATTAGTCCGGTCAATTTAGACATCCAAGGTGATAAAAATTCCCATTAAGCTGAAAATTAGTAGTATTGTTCATTACACTATTCAAAAGGAAATGTGAAAAGTCCTCATCGATTCGGCACGTGGAAAAAAATTTACTTGGGATCAAAGGTCACAAAAACAGGTTTTTTCGCGATTTTCACAAAACGGCAAGTTTTATCATAAAATTAGCTCAGATAAAAATTGTAGATTATCTATAAAAATGTCTCAATGCTTTTTTTCCTAAGAGCCACCGTTTGTTAGATATAACAATTCAAAAAGTTGAAAGAACACTAATGGCTAACATAAATGGAATAAAATTTTTATTGGTATTAATTTTTTTTTTTGTGTTACATATTTGGGGCATAACGTTAGGTTAACGCTTGTTAAGGTTCTTCGTACACAACGATCGATAGTTCGCCCAATTTAATTAGTTCTCGGGATAATGTTAAGATAAATTCCATCGGCTCCTAGAATTAAGCGTTTTGCGACGAACTCGATAGTCTGCGGTGTCTTACTGCACGGCTCTACGCGGAATTTGGACAGGAACTTCGCTATACATATACGGGATTGTACATGCGCGAACCGCATACCTGCGAAACAAACACAACAGTGTTTAATAAATCGGATCTTCTAGCAGATTCTGGTGCCTTATTTAGTGGCTGAATAAACTTTAGTGAAAACCCATAAAGTATTTATCATAAAATTCGTTCCCAGAACAAGAAGCTAGAAAGAAAATACCAACGGTTCGAACAAAATAAAATGGTAGGTTATATTGCTATAATTTAAGGAAAGTGAATAATAATATATGGTTCAAGGATCTGTTCATAGAATATTTCTGATGTGTTTACTATAATGATGAACTTTAAGCATTGTTTTATTTTCAAACAAAACTTCTGAGTTATTTATTTTATTAAAAACAGATCAAACTGCGAGTGAGAAAAAGAGTAGCAATTAACTAACTTCATGGTTCTTAAACAAAAACATTTTAAATAGAAGACGTCTCTTTCAAAAATCAAGAGTAAAGCACGGAGCCAGAAAATAAGTGCTAAGCAACTAGGCATCAAAACATTATGCCCCAAGAATTGCGTTATCATCTTTAAACAACTTAGTTTAAGACTGCGTGTGCAAGCAGGTTCCGAAGTACCAAAAATGTGTCAGAAATACTCATTATACAAAACATGCATAAATCTTACCGATGCAGTTTCTTGGTCCACACCCAAAGGGCAAATAAGCGCAAGCGTGTCTATTACTTGCGTTTTCCACGGAAAATCTTTCGGGATCAAATTTGTCTGGATTGGGGTAGTGTTTAGCATCACGTTGGACGCTCAGGATTGATACTATTACAATTTGATCTTTTTTTACTGTAACATCAGTTCCTGGTATTTTGTAGTCGGCTAATGCCCTCCTTTGTAGAGGATCTACTATGGGATACATGCGTAGAGTCTCGTCTAAAACCATCTTCATATAATGCATATCGTTGAGAGTTTCATACGTCATTTTGCCTTCGTGTTTTTTTAGCACTTCATCGACTTCGGCTATCACTTTGTTTTGTATGTCCTGGTTTTTCGCCAACTCGTATAACATATATGTCATTGTGCGTGCGCTGGTTTCGTATCCAGCGGCGTAAAATACAAACGCAAGCGCGGCAATAACATCCTCTGTTAGTTCAAGAACTATTTGTTCACTATCATCGTACCTTTTTGTACTATTTATCTGACGCTGCTGTCTTAGCTCCAGAATTAAATCCATGAAGTCCCTCCTGTTCGACGGTACGCCGTTCCTCTGCGTTATAACGGTCGCAACAAGCTGCCTAAAGAACTCGTCTATGTATGCCGGGAATACCTCAAGGTTCATCTTCTTCAGTACCCCCGGAAACATCATGTCCAATTCGTCCACGAACGACGGTGTGGTTAAAAGTTTGTCCATTTTCTCCAAGGCTTCTATGTTCTCATTGAACGTGTCAATCTCCAAGCCGAAAGCGCAGGCCGATATGGCCGCCATGGTATACTTTTGTAAGAGTGGGTGCACGTCAAATTCACTCCTCGTCAAGCATTGCTCTTTTAGATATACGATAAATCTGTCGCCACGTTCATCTAGTAAGTACATCATGTTCTTCAGTTTCCCCGAGGAGAATATGGGTGTGAAACGGTTCCTCAAAATACGCCAGTTATCAGCGTCAGCGTGGAATATGTTCTTACTTAAACCTTTGTCACCGACAGAGACGCCGCGGTCAGAGAAATAGTCGAAGTCTTTTATAAATACATGCTTGATCACGTCCAGGTCGCGGAGGAACAGGCACGGAGTGGTCATTCTGAACACACCTACCACTTTCTCGTTGGGAAACTGGTCGTAGATCTCTTTGAATACCACTCCAATGTTCTTTCTCCGTAAAGAGGAATCCAATAAATTGCCGAATAGAGGAATCGGTTTCGGCCCGACGACATTCCTTGTTTTCCAGTAGTTAAATGTTCTGGTTAAGTAGTAATAAAGTAAACAGCATATTGTTAACGTAGCTATCAATGTGTACGTTAGCAACATTTCAAGTGAGACGCCCTTAGCGTGATTTCAAAGACAATAACGGTTTAAGCGAATTACTTTACGTTTGCTTGATTATATAGTTATTAGAACTAACTGACTACGCACACATGCATATTATGGATAAACATAAGAAGATGACATAAATTATATTTTTTAGCTATTTTAAAAAAGGGAAATTTATGTAAGACTTTTAGGAGCTACAGTATGTGTTGTTGTTTTGTTTTTTTTTGGTATCTTTAATTTAATTTATCTGCTTACTTTCGGCGTTCATTAATTTTACGATATCAGTATGTATGAAAAACAAATGTAATTTAATATAAATGAAAATAATAATTTTTAAAATTTTGAGGTTTAATTAAAATATTATTACTTAATATAATTATAGTGTCTTAAAACTTATAGAAAAAGAAAAAGTCAAGAGATTAGCACTATAAAAATCTTTAAATTTCTAAAAAATAAAAAAAATATATATATTATCAGTAACAGAAAACGTTAATCCCTCATAAAAGTGAACGTGAAGTTTAACTGTGGTAAGAAGCATTACACTTTCTTAATATATTCATTTTTATGGTGGTAGGACCACGCCGCAGCCTCGGCTGTTCCACGAATGGGCAGGTCCGTCCGGGTTACCACGACCGATCATGATCACGGACGATCCTCTGTGAGAAGACCGGCGTAAAGTAGAAGTGTTACACTTCTGCG